GACTCAGCCCCTGACAAGCTCTTTCTCTTCTGTCCCTCTGTCCCCTGTTGGTGTGGACACACCATTCCTTTGGCATGTCTGGTAGGGACCAGACCCCCTGCTGTTGTTAGCATTCCTCCCTCTGCCTGGAATGTTCTTCCCTATCTTCTACCTGATAAGCACTGAGTCATCCTGCAAAACTGTACAGCTATCCCCGTCCCTGAGGACCCTCCCCTGGCCAGCCCCACCCTGTTGCAGGCAGAATGCTTGGCGGTGGTAACAGACAATGTGGGTTGCTGACTACAAATCATTTCCCCTTTATTCCTTGCCAAGAGAATGCTGATTTTGCCCAAGTTGTCAACCCTCAGGAAGGTGACCCTAAGCAGACTAAGTCAAACATGCTAGCTCAACCCCTGAGAGCCTGAGACCAACTCGGGTGGGCTAGCATGTGCCCGGTTTTGGCCTTGCCCTCATAGACTGTGAGTCAGGGTTGGGAAGCTCTTACAGAGTGGCCCCAGGGGCATCCTGCTGGCCATGCCACCAGAACCCCAAACAGCACCTGGAGTGAAAGAGCTGCCCAAAGAGTGGAGGGAGTCCACTTTGTCCTGTTAGATCCTTCTTGGAACTATTTTTATTAGGGTTGGCCAGGTAGGCTTTCTTCCACAGGGAGCCTAAGCGGACCCAGAGAGTCTTCTCAGAATCGCAGGCCATCAAGGATGGGGGCTCAGCCTCCCTGGCTAGTAGGCACTCCGGTCCCTGAAGTCCGTACTCCTGCTTGTTGTTATTTATTCAAAAATATTCGTTCATGGCCTTACTGCCCTGAATGTGCCGGCTCTCGTCTGATCTCAGAAGCTAAGCAAGGTCGGGCCTGGTTAGTACTTGGATGGGAGACCGCTGGGGACTGTCAAGTGCTGTAGGCTTTAAAGAAAAAAAAAAAAAAGTAAAAAATATATTTGTTGAATGCCTGCTATTTACTAGGCCCTGAATGTTTAAAAACAAATAAAATATAGTTCTTGCCTTCAAGGGGCTCACAGCTTTTCTGTGGGAGACACATAAACAGATAACATGTCAAACAGATAACATGTCATAATAGAGAGTGTTCTTAAGTGCTAACAAGAGCAGCTACTTACTATGTAGTTCAAGCAGAAAACAAATGTATGAAAGGCTTTCGGGCGGCTCACAGAATTCTATGTAGCACAAACACTATGCCTCAAATCATGCTGCAGGGCAAACTTGGGGCTCAGTATGCTGGACCACGTTCTGCCTTCTCTCCCAGCCAGCGTTACAATGGAAGAAAAGAAATTCAGCGCCTAGGAAATGAAAAACATTGATTCGAGGATAAAGAGGGAGTATATGTAGATATCAACTCTTGGAGAGAATTAAAAAGCAACAGTGTTAGAGCTATGGCAAGGCTGTAAGCAGGGAATACCTATGCAAAGGAAAACCACATCTAGAGAAAGCTAAAGCGGTAAAACCAGATTTTATTCAGGACTATTGCAATAAGCGAAGGGACCTCAATATACAGTCAAGTTCATTCTAAAAGCAGCATGAGCTGTCAAGACTTGGAGCCATGGAGCAGGTGGGAGTTGGAAGATGGAAAACTACCAAGAGGAAACGCCAGGGGTGAGGGGGATTCTGGCTAAACTGACCTAACAGGAGTCCTGCTGAAGACAGGCCAGGGTGAGCGGACATCACCGGGGAAGGTGGAGGATAAGGACCCTGATCAGATATTGGGAGTGGTCAGATATGAACAAGGGTTTTCTTGCTGAATTGACTTACTGGGGTTCTTGCTCAAATTGGATTTTACAAGAAAGTGCACAGATGGTTCTGGAAGGTTCAGGAGCCTCACTCAAGTTTGCTCAAGTAAAGAATCTTTGTCACTACTCCCTTACTTTTCCCCTATGCTGAAATCAAATTAGGCATATTCCAAATTATCTTTAAAAACATAGGTATGTTTTTAAAAAATCCCAAAGAGCAATTGCAAAAGCACCCATGGAATGTGTCTGCTTTGCCGGAAGTGCCCAAAAGTTTACTCCAGCAAACATGACTGGCAGGTGCTGTGGATGCTGCTGGTGTCCTGGCCTGGTCCCCTTTGCTTCCTTCCACAGGTGCCATGGGGGTCACCTGGTGGAAGCCAGCACACGGGGCTGAGACCCCTACACCCATGCTGCTCCAGCAGAGAGAGCAACCCGTCTAATCTGAGGAGACCTCCTACTTCCAGGCCTGTCCCAGATTTCTCTGCTGGCAGGGAAGCAGAGGGGGAGATGACGTTCATTCTGCCCCACTGGGGGAGATGAGCCAACTTCATGAGAGCTTAAGCACATTCCCTTGCTGGGCACATGACTGAATTTCTTGGGGAGTGTCCTTGGCTGCGGCTCTTCCCAAGGCTCCTCTTTGGCCACTTGAGGCCTGGGGTGGCTTGCAAAAGAGCCCTGTGCCCATCAAACCAGCAGTCAGAGGGGCTTGCAGGGCCAAGAGATCCTCTAAGTCCTTTCTAAAGGGCTTCAGCAGAAAGCAGCTAGGCAGTGGCTCAGCACTGAAAGGAAATCTGCACACAGAGCAGGATTTGAACTGAAAGAGGAAAAAGAATCCTCACCAGGCGGGGCTGGGATCCAGGAGATGCACATGGATACAGCTGCAAAAGGTTGTTGTTAAACTCCCCCGCCTTGCTGCGTTATGGTCTGATTGTGTGTTGTTGAAGCCCTTACCCCCCAGTTTGATGGTGTTTGGAGATGGAGCCTTTGGCAGGTAATTAGGGTTAGATAAGGTTATGAGGGTGGGGCCCTCATGATGGTATAGTGACCTTATAAAAAGAGCAGGAGAGAGGGAGAGAACTCTTACCCCCATGACCACGGGTAAGCACAGATGAATGGTCATGGGAGGATGTGTCAAAAAGGCAGGAAGGAAGAGGCCCTCCCCAGGAACTGAACTGGCAGCACATTGACCTTAGACTTCCCAAACTCCAGATCTGTGCAAAATAAATGTCTGCTATTTAAGCCACCTATTTATGGTATTTTGTATGTCAGTCTAAAAAGACTAAGACATGTTGGTCAATAGCTGCTGCATCCCCAACACCCAGGAGCCTCCCCTGGGGCCCCACAGACACCCTGCCCTCCAGCACTGAGGGTTGAGGCCCTCCCTGCAGACAGCGGCCATTCAGGTGAGTGGGTTGTGCCACACCAGTTGTTAAATATTTTGAGCACCACTTGTAGATTTAAAAACAGTCCCCGAATTCTTTGCCGCTCTTCTCATTGACAGATGGGGTCTATGTCCTCTTTCCTTGAAGCTGGAGTGGCTTGTGATGTCTTCAACTGATAGGCACTGGGAAAGTGATGCTACGTGATGCCTGACACTAACTCACAGAAGGCAATGGTGGTATCCTTGTCCACTGGGAGACTGTGGAGCTCTACCACTTGCTACCCTGAGGCTGCCATGCTGCAGAAGCTACGTGTAGGAGCTCAGGGGACAGTCCTGGTTGAGCCTGGCCTTTCAGCCATCTCACCAGGTGCCCAACATGTGAGTGAAGAGGCATTCAGATGATTCCAACCCTCTGCCCTAGAGTCACCCCAGCCTTCAGGTCTCCCCAGCTGAGTCTCCGTACTTGTTGGAGCAGAGATAAGCCTCTTGCTTCGCCCGCCAGAATTTCTGACCCACAGAATCTGTAAACATTATACATGAGGGTTTTACGCCACTGGCTCTGGGGTGGTCTGAAAGGTGGCAGTTGTAACTGGGAGCCCACCCTGTACAGAAAGGTGAGGAAACTGAGGCTCAGAGAGAGAGTAAGCAACTCAGTCACTGATATAGTTTGGATGTCCCCTCCAAATCTCATATTGAAATGTGATCCCCAGTGTTGGAGGTGGGGCCTGGTGGGAGGTGTTTAGGTCAGGGGGCAGGCCCCTCATGGCCTAATGCTGTCCTCACCATAGTGAGCTCTGACGGGATCTGGTTGTTAAAGTGGGTGGCACCTCCCTCCGCCTCTCTTGCTCTCACTCTCGCTACATGATGTTGGCTTCCCCCTTCACCTTCTGCCATAACTGCAAGCTCCCTCCAGAGGTCTCCCCAGAAGCTGAGCAGATGCCGGCACCATGCTTCCTATATAGTCTACAGGACTGTGAGCCAATTAAACACCTTTTTAATAAATTACCCAGACTCAGGTATTGCTTTATGGCAGCACAAGAATATCCTAATGCAGGCAAAGTCATGGCGCCGGCACAGGGCAGAGCCAGAATCTGCCTCCCATCGGAATGAACTCAGAGCCCACACTGTTCCCATCTCCCTGATCGGCCTGGTTACTGGGCACACGCTTACCCCTTGGGGCCACAATTTGAGGGGAAGTTTGCAAACTGGAGCATGTTCGGGGGTGATAGTCCCAAACCAGGCTCCGGGAGTGACCACTGGAGGGACCACTGAAGGGACTAGGGACACTGGGCTTTGACAGAAGTTGTCGCAGAATTTGTGGGCCTTCTTCAGATATCCAAAATGTTGTTACTGGGAATGAACAAGTGTCATGGCCCCAGATGGTAGAGGTGTGGGCTCAATGCGGCTGATTTTGGTTCAGGTAAAGCAAGAATTTTGCTTTGCAGCATCCATTGGAAAAAGTCTGGGCCATCAAAGGACACATTTAGTCCCCAACTTTGGAGGCAGCCAAGTGCACCCTAAAGACTTGAGTGCTCCCTGAGTACCCCCAGTACACCCTGAGTACCCAAGTGCACCCCCAAGCATACCAAGGACCACCCCTCAGTGGATGCCAAGGAAGTAGTAGTCAGGCCGCAGGTTGGAACAGCACCAGCTAACTTTTAATCCCTCTCTAACCTTGAGATACCAGGATGTAGCCTACACATCAGGAGGTGAACAGAATCTATCCTCATTTGTAAGGGTTGTCCCCAGGGCAGCGGGGGTGCAGCCCAGTGTTCCCACTGGGAGATGCCCATGGGTGCTCAGGTTTCGTGGCTTCCCAAAGCTCTGTTTCTGACAAATTAAATTGGTCCTACTCTGGTCCCTGCAAAACATCCAAAGACACATTGATTTGAATACAAATCTTTATTATTATGAAAGCCACAGCAAAGGCACCTCAGAGTCTCCAGGTACCCAGTCTCAGCCGTTCAGTGGGGACAAGAGTTGTGCTCAGGGCATGGCCATGCCCTCCTGTGCTGCATGTGGAGGGGTGCAAGGCCAGGGCAGCCGACCTGGCCAGTGACCAGGGGTGCCCAATCCTCTTAGGAAACAGTGTCTTTGGGTCATAACATTAATTTGTAGCTTATTTTGTTATTAAGATGGTGAGAGAATTTCTCGTCCATATAGAGCCTCACTTTTTTAGACGAATGTTATGGCATCCCGTTTGGGATGGATACGTGTTTGTTTCTCAGCTGCTGAGGGATGTATGTTCTGAAACAAAAGGGCTCCCAGCCAGCTCTCTGGGTGCCTGATAGAGAAGCGTATCAGCAAGATGCTTATTTAAAACCCATATTCCCTGACCCCTCGTGTGGAGACCCTGTTTCAGTAGACGGGAGTGGGGCTGGGGTCTGCATAACCTGTGTCCAGAAGATTCTGTGATCAGCTTGGGAGGATCCTGTGCAGGGAGGAGGGGATGACCCACAAGCCCGCAGGCCCCTCATGCCGAGGCACCTGATGGACTGCAGAAATGCTAAGCCTGGCATTGTGCTCACACTGGGAAATGACCTGGGGGAAGCTGGGAAGAGGAGTCCAGGCTGGTTCCACCCTCTGGCTCAGAAACCCAGCTGGAAAGCACTGGAAATAGGGAAATAGAAGATTGAAAGCCCGGGCCCCCCGACACCCAATTCCCGTCCATGGCTGAGGTCGAGTGAGGAGGCCTGGAGGCTCTGGCTTTGTGGCCTTTGCTCTTGTTCTTCTGTTCAGGGGTCGCTGCCCACCAGGTTCAACAGGGCATTCTTGTAGTCCCCGCTGGTGTCTTCCTGTGAGCAAGAGATGCAGGAGTGTGAGAAGGGGCTTGTTTGTGCCTGCTCTGCAACAGCGGCTGTGTGATTATGACTAAGAGCTGTGCCCCTGGCTTAGACCTGGCCCAGCCCTCCATGGTTCCTAAACCACAGGGTTTAGGAACCTTGTTTTTAATTTCAGGCTATTCCTTTGCATCTCCTTTTGATTCTCTTACCAACTACAAGCAGGATTAATGCGGAAAATGAATCAGAGACTGTTCCACTCCTAAACAAGGAAGGGGTGGGTGGCTCCCTCACCCGTCAGCGGTCGTAGGGTTCTTCTATTCAGGAGCCAGGTGTGTCCAGCATTCATTTGCACAACATGATGCATAATTATTCAGCATCTGCTGTGGCAGCTTGGGAACCAAGGCTGAGAGTGGGGCATCAGCACACACCTGGGGGCAGGGCTGGGGTGGAAAGAGCCTGGACCATCGTGCCCTGACTGTGTGGCCAAGGCAAGCCCCTTCACCTCTGTGGGACTCATCTATGTAATGAGATTGATGCTGCACTGCTGTGCATCTTGTTGAGACGTGCTGAGGGCACAGGAGCGGAAAGGTGAGCTGGTCTGCCCTGCGGCTGGCTCACAGTGGGTCCACACTTTGTCTCCTGATGAGGTTGACCTTGTGGTCCGATGGCTGGGGAGCCCTGTTTCTAGCTACTGGTGGGTCCTAATGGGACTGGCTAGTCCAGGGTCTGCACACAGAGCTGGGAAATGGGCCAGGTCAGATCACCCAGATTCTTCTTCATGCGGTTAAGGATAGTGGGGCCAAGAGAGGGGAGTGGATTCATCTGCAGTGGCATGGTGAGTAAGGGGTAGGCTGGGGCTAGTCCCACTTTCCACACTCTGGAGTTTAGATCTCATGGTTATTGTCTGTTTTTTCAATGTTTAGTAAAATTTGCCTGTTTTGAGCCTGAAATCTTGTTACAGGTTTTAAACTACAATTAAATTTTTTTTTAACTCTTTCTTTCTAGAGGTTTCACTCTGTCACCCAGCCTGGAGTGCAGTGGTGCAGTCCTAGCTCACTGCAGCCTTGGACTCCTGGGCTCAAGAGATCCTCCTGCCTTGGCCTCCCAAAGTACTGGGATTACAGGTGTGGGCCACCACACCTGGTGATTTTACTATTTTGAAGATAATTTTTGTAACAGTTGTTAGAAAGAAAAGCATTAATTTTGTTTCCTTTTTCAAATACATGAATTATACTTGGAGTGTTTATACATTTGCCTCTTAATTTCAATGCAGGAGTTTCTAACTCATATTAGTGTTGAAAACCATTTTTGCTTTAATGACATCTGTGGTCTACACTAAAAAGAAAATATTTGGTGAACGTATTCATGATTCTAACTCAATTTTTTAAAGTAACAACATTAGATAAAATTCAAAGAGGGCAGCTTCATGTATCTCTAGAAATCTCTTTGTGGCTGTAAGCTACCACGTGTGGCTGGAAGGGCTGATGACAATCAGCTCGGACCGGCTGCAGGGGACAGCAGCAGTCCAGGCTGGTATGTGCCTTGCCCTCCTGTCTCCCAACAAGATTGGCTGGGGAGCTTACAGTGAAACCAAGAATAATTCCAACTCTCCCTCTCCCCTGCCCACTTGCTGTCCCACCTTGAAACATTTGAAAACAGAAATGTCTTTTCAACATATTGTCAGCTATGTGTTTCTTGAAAAGTGCACTTAACAAGGACATTTGCAGAAGAGCTGGAGATTTGACTTAGTAACCAAAGAAGGCTTGGGGATGTATTTGTCCTAATGTGACTTCTGCTAATGAAATCATCAAGACCTCAATTTGTAGACACCCCCAGGTGAGCTATTTTTCCCAATTATCTCAGTGTGATAATCATTCTATGTTTTGAAGGCTCCAGAACTTTCGCTAATTGGAATCTGGTTAGGCAGTCTATTGGTGCTCATCTGACTTCTCTCCTTAGATCTGGCTGCCAGGACTACTTAAATCTGGATTTGAGTGGTGGGCCCCAGTTCCTACCAGACTAGTTCCTCTCATTGACTCTTCAGAGGTGGCTCCTTCTGCACGCATTTGGTGTCTTTTCCAAGGAGCTATCATAACTCAAATTGAAAACCAACTTTCTGAGTGGGGCACAGGGGAGCCTCCATGCCGTGGTCTCTGCATCTGTCCTCCACCCCCGACTCCCTTCGGGCTCCAGCCACACTGACCTGTGCCGTTCCCTGCGCACACCACATGGTCACGAATGCAAGTGTATGGTGCCCACTGGGAAGGGAGGGGCCCACATGGCATTGGCCACAGCCTCCAGGTCTCCTGGAATGTCTAGGTTTCAGGCTGGCCTCAGCTTTGGGAGCGCCTAGCTTACCATGATCATGCTGCTGAGGGTCTTGCCATACATCTTCTTGAAGTGACACTTGATAAGATTTAAGTCAATCTCGCTCCTTGAAACGATGTTCCTTATCAGGGTCCCGTCACGTGTCCCTGCTCCCTGGGCAAGACAGCGGCCATCAACAATCCTGCCTCGCCTTTCCCGTCCATCTCTGAGAGATGGACAAATCTGTGTGATTGGGTTCTGGGGCTTTTAGAGGGAAAGAGATGCAGGAAGGAGCCTGTGCTTCAGCTGGGGAAGCATTAGGAGGGATGCTTTGGTGGCTTCGGGTGTCCACTTCCTCAATCCCTTCTCACCCACCGCCCATAGCTCTTCCTTTATGATGCCAAGTGCTCCAAAATGCCATATGTTTGGTTTGCCACATCAGATCCTAGACACAAAATACTTACTGCTCCAGGAACAAGACTTCCTTCTAGAGCAGTCAGCTTAGCCCGGAATTCCACAGGCAGGGCCTTCCGGCTCACCTTCATCCCTGACCAGTCTTATATCAGCTGGGGCCACATGGCCAAGGGAATGGCATGCCCTGTCTCATTTCCTGGGCAGAGGTGGCCAGAGGGCTTGGGTTTTGGGTGTGGAACTAACTTCAGGAGATATCAGCAACCATTAATTAAAGAAAATGGGCAATGATTTTAGTTTCAAGGAATGATTCACCTCTGGAGATGGAGTTTCCCTGTCCCAGACTCGGTTTCACTTCTGAGAACTAAAATCTTTCTGATCCACAAGAGGTTGGGGGGTAAGAGAACTCCCCAGTGTGGAAGACGGTGGTGGCTTTCAGCTCCTTGGCTTTGCACTTGGTGCTATGTAGGGCGAATGTCAGGAGGCAGAAGACAGAACAGTTACCTTCATGGCGTAGTAGAGTCTCTCTGCAAAGTAGCTGTGGAGGTTTCGGGTGCATTTCACTGGCAAACAGGAAAGCTGTGTTAATACCTGGAGCTGGGAGGTGGCACTGCCTACAACTTGATTTATTATGTCTTGCCTTGGGCCTTAAGAGTCAGTGCTGTGCAAGGGTTGGTATATTTCTTTGTGCCTTCTTTCCCAAAGTGAGAGGCTTTGTGTCAAGTGGCATGGGACAGGGAAGGAAGCCCCGGGCACTGGGCACAGCTCCAAAGGCCCAGAGCAGGCAGGCAGAATGGTGAGATGTGAAATGCACTGGACTGTGGGTCTTGTCTGGAGACACCAGCTCAAGCCTCTCTCCAGGCTGCTCAGAGCCAGGGCAGGTCCTGGGCTGTCAACCCAGAGACAGCTCCACCAAAAATCCAGCCGCTCAGCTCCACAGAACACCACGGTTTGGTGCTGGTCGTAGAGTGTCCTCTGTCACTTATCAGCAGGAACCCTGCATTTTGAATTCCCATGTGATAAGTGGAGCTTGGCCTTGGAAGACTAAGGCATTTAGGGGTATCTGGTCAGAGAGTGGGCCCTGCAATGGCCCTCATGGGTGCTGCCCAGAGACTTGGGATCTGGGTGGGGAAGGTTGGTGTTTCCACCCGGGGCTTCAGAAGGAGTGTGGGCTTTGAGTGAGGTAGGCGTGTGTTCACCTCCCGCTTTGTTGGTGCTGTATGACTTCATTACTTGACCGCCCTGACTCCTCTGGGAAGTGAGACTGAGGCAAGGCTTCAACGGGAAATGAATAGGAAGGCCTAGTACGACGCGGCACTGCATGGCTTCACTATTCCCTGCTGGCAGACTTCATTCATGGGAGGTTCAGGCCAGATCCAGAGGCGGACTTTGGAAGCTGAGATTGGAGCAGGGGTGTGATTAGATGCCCCAACATAGACTAGATTGTATCACAGCAGCCAAGGCTAGCTGGGGTGTCTCAGATGGCCCTGTCCACCCAGAGAGGCAAGAACACAGCAGGGAGCCTGCTGGCTGCTGGGCTCTGCACAGAGGCAGCCTGGTGTGGAGGTGAGAGCTGCAGGCTAGGAGTCCTGACCTGGGTTCTGTGTGTAAGTGGGGGAAGAGACGACCCTCTGCCCAGGGCCTCAGCTTTCTACTCTGCAGTGACTCTTCCCATTGTGATCTCAGCCCTGGACCACATGAGAGCTCTGGAATGGGTCCTCCTGAGTGGCCCTGACTTCCTGCTGTGGGGAAGGTCCTCAGTGTTTCTCAGCATCAGACCATCCATCACTCAGTTTGGACTCAAGCCACACATCATTTTTTCTTCAGCTGGCAGTGAAGGCACGGGCCAGATTGCTGGCTCACGTCCGGAAAGGTGACTCTGTGCTGGTCAGGGCTTCACAACCAGAGCCAGAGTGCTCTCTGCATGGCTGCCGTGGGTATGCACAGGGCTGGGGCTGGCATAATCACTGGTGTATGCATTTGTGTGGGCACACACACTCACAGACTCTCTCTCTCACACACACTCATGCATCCACTTACACACCTACATTCACAAACATACACTGTCTTTCAAACACACACATCCCCACCCACATACTCACATCCCATCCATGCAGTCAGGCACACACCCCCTCAGGTACACACACTCTCATACTCTCACTCACACTTTCATGCTCACACATTCTCATGCACACACTCATGCATGCACACACACTCATGCACACACCCTCGTGCACACACATATGCAGACACTCTCACACAGTCTCATGCACACACACCCTTATGTACACACACATGCTCATGCACAGTCTCATGCATGCACACTCATGCACACACACACAGCCTCATGCATACACACATGCACCCACATCCCATACACACACCCTCATGCACACATATGCACACACCCTCATGCACACACTCATGCATATAGTCTCATGCACACACACTCATGCGCACACATGAACACACAGCCTCATGCACACAATCATGTACACTGTCACGCACACACAGTCTCATGCACACACACTCTCATGCATATACACCCTCATGCACACAGTCTCATGTACACACCCTCATGCTCACACACTCTTATGCACACACTCACACACCCACATCCTCATGCACACATTCTCAGGCACACACCGCCTCATGCACACATTCATGCACATACACCCTCATGTACACACTCACACACACACACACTCATGCACACACACTCATGCAGACACACTCATGCACACAGATCCTCAGGCACACACAGTCACACAGCGATGGGCACCACATGGGCAGCACAAAGAGTAATCCTTGGCAGCACACATTGGGACTCTAGGAGCGGAGTAGTCCCTAGGTTCTGGACTGAAGAGAACAGGTAGAGTGTGAGTTGGGGGAACATCTCCTGAAGGTGACACAGGGATGCTGTCTCTTGCGGTCACATCCCTAGGCCCTTTGTTTTTTGGTACTGCCCCATGGTGAGCCCTGTGGCCTGAAAAATGCACATGTCCGAGCTCTTACCCACGGTGAGCATGGCCTCCTCCAGTGAGCCGTGAGTCTCACTCTTGATGCTGTCCTCAATGCTCTTGTTGGCAATTTTCTCATACTCTTCAAACACTGTGGAGAGGGCTCTGCTCAGGGGATGGTCAGACCTCCTCGTGCTGCCCTCAGTGTCTCTGATCAGAGACTGCACATCAATGTGCCACCCAGACCTCCCACTTGGTGGCCAGGGAAAGAGTCCTGGGCTCCCTGGCTCTCTCCCTAACTCTAGACAAGGTAGAAGCTCGAGGGAGAGGCTCATGGCCAGGGTACCCCCTGTGGCCCCAGCCCTGCCCCTTCCGTCCCTGGTACCTCTCAGCAGGTGAGTGGCACTCCGTGTACACAGGATGGTGATGAATTTCATCTCATCAGTCCCACGAATCTTCTCTCCTGCTGCATGCAGATCCTAGCATTGGGACAACCATGACAAGACAGTGAGAGAAACCAGGGAGGTGAGGGACGGAGCCCCAGAGTCCCAGAGCTGCAGCCATGGCCAGCCCCGGTCCACTCTGCCAGGCCAGCATGATCCTCTGCTTCGTCCTCTCTAACAGGGAGCTCCCCTTTCTCTAGCAGCTCTGGCTTAGAATATTTTCTCCATCTTGGGCTACAAGCTGCTGTAGGAACTCCCAGTCCCCAGGCTTCCCTCTGCCAACAGACAGACTTGCAGAGATCTGGACACATGTGTCCAGCACTGAGGCCCAGTGCCCCCAGGTTCGTGGGCTGTTCCTACCAGGACAGAGCTTTAGTGCTCCCCCACCCTCAAGTCATGCTCTTTCCTCCTGAGTCTTCCAACACCCTCACTCTTCTCCCCAGACACTAAAGGGCAAAGGCCTACAGGGAGCTGAGCTAGGTGGGTCCCCGCCTAGTGTCAGAGAAAGGCCCCCATGGGCAGAGGGGGCAGAGTCCAGATGGCAGGGCATGGGGGCCACATGGCCAGCTGGGTGCGACCTCACCTGTGCGTCTTGGAGGGCCAGTCTCGGGTCCACAAAGCCGCTCACATCATCCCTGCTGCCCTAGGAACAAAGGAGTTGGCTCTGTAATGCAGGCTGGCTGACCAAAGCAGCAAGGGCCAAGGGGGGATCCGGGGCTTGGAGGGCAGGCATGGCGCTGCTGCTTTTTGGCTGTGGAAACTTCAGCAAGCTGGTTATTCTCTTCTACCCTCGGTTTGCTCATCTGGACAGTGCGGGTGGTAAGGACTGTCTGATAAGGCTTGGGGGATTCAGAGAGCTAAGGTAAGCAAAGCACCTGGCATGAGACCTGCAGGAAGGGCCTGCTCTCCTCCCTCTTCCAGAAGGCTTTCACATGGCTGAGTCAGGACAGATACAGGGGCCCTGGAGAAGGGACACTCTAACCGTGCTGAGACATATGCAATGAGCCCTGGCCACCAGGACTGTCCCATGCCCTTGCCCTGGAGTCAGGACACCCTAACCATGCTGAGACATACTCAACGAGCCCTGGCCACCAGGACTGTCGCATGCCCCTGCCCTGACTCTGGTGGTTGTGTTCAAGGGCCACTCCCTGGGACGGAGCTGTTGGGACCCACAAACCAAGGAGCTCCGAAGAGCCTGGGCTATGATACCTGCAGGAGGCACACGAGGATCCTCTCCAGGTAGCCACTTGTGTCTGCCTGGATGTCCTCCTCCAGGCTGGACCCGTAGTCTGCAGGGAAACAGAACCATGAGGTGCAAGCAGAGGCCGAGGGCCTACCTACAGCCTGCTTTCCTCCTTCCAGCCCTGTTCCCCACACTTCTCCTGATTAAAGCATTCTCAGAAAGAAAGACCTTGGTGCAGGGCATGGATGCAATGCCCAGGTGTCCAAGTGGCAAATGGCTGTCACCTGGGTGGTGGTTCACAACTACAAGCGACATGGATTCTCAACCAAGCTCCAAGCACAAAGGTGGACCAGGCCAGAGAGCCAGGCCAGGGACTGCCAATCAAGCTCCATTTCATCTCAAGGCTTGGCAAAGCCAAAGCCTCCAGGAAAACTCCCCACTGGGTACACAATGTGGAGGACTGGCTGTAGCCTGGGGTCCACACCCGCCACTACCACAGTCCTCAAGTGCAGAGAGTTTAGCTGACCGTGTGCCTCACTCCCCTGTAAGAGAAGCTGGTGAGCTTATAGATTGAGTTTGAGTCATGTTCAATGTCACCATCAGGCCCAGGTATTGGCACACAGTAGGTGCTCAGCACCTGTGGGTGAAAATGTCCCCAAAGGGTCCTTTCCAGTGAGGCCCAGGTTATTTCTTGAACCTTGTTCCCTGCTAGGCTGCCAAAGCTTGTGGCCACTCCCAAGCAAGTCTTGAGCTCAGACCCCTGTGCCCCGCCTTCTGTGCCACCCCTTACCTTCCTCATATGCCTTCATTATCTCCTGCAGCTGCTTCTTGGTCCGAGAGGCCAGGATCTCAATGATGATGCCCTCCTTGGTTCCTAAGCCCTGTGGACAGAAACCTCTGCCTACTGGAGTGCTCTGCCATGACCTCCTGCTCTGGCCACACCTTTTTTCTCTAGATGCCTGAGCCTTAGACAGGACCTTACTGCTCTGTCCCACTTGGAGAGGGAGGATGTGGTGAGAAAATCACATGCTTGTCTTCAATGATGGATACTGAGGGCAAGTGACGCAGAAGCCCTGTCTCAGCTCTCCCTCCTTAGCTGGGTGGTCTCAGACAGGCTGCTCCATGACGCGGAGCCTAAGCATCCTGATCCATAAATGGGAATAATAAGCCTTCCCCGTCCAGAAGGTGGATTAGGGAGCATGAGTGTAAAATGCCTAGTGCTGTCCATGCAGCAAGTGTCCTTTCAAATGAATGACTGTTGTTACTGAGTCCCCATTTCCTATTAATCCGCAAAAACAAAGAGTAGTGAGGGGTAAAGGGAAACCCGGGGGACGGGGGCTGTGCCTGGGACTGCAGAGGCAAGTTTCCAATACTGCTGTACACCTGAGCTGGTGAGGTTTTGAGAAATACTGATTTTGGCTTCAGTCAGGAACCAGTGACTTCAGGTGTTGGGTACAGTCGGAGCAGTAGGCTACCTGCTCACTGGGCCTAGCTATGGTCCATGTGGCCATTCCAAACAGTGGCTCAACGAGAGATCTGGGCTGCTGGTGCCGGTACCCTCATTGCCCTTATCCAGTCATGTGAGCACCCTGCCCTTCCCCTGCCCTGCCTGCGTGGTTACCTTCATGGCATCGTGCAGCTCCTTGGCTTCGTATCTGTATGGCAGGTACATAAGGGCCACAATGAGCCTCTCTAACTTGCCACTCAGCTCCGACTTCAAGGTCTCGGTGAGGTCCTAATGCAGGAACAGGGAATGGTGATATTTGTCATAAGCCAGGCCCACCTGAGTGCAGGCATCAGGGTGGTGGCTGGGCTCAGGGGGTTGGGCTAGATTCTGCGTGGGCCCTGCCACGTGCAGGCTCAGTTTCTTGGGCCAGCTCCTTAGCTTCTCTGAACATCAGTATCTTTACCAGTTATATGGAGATGAACGTGCTCCTGCTTCATCCCATTGCTCAGGGGGTTGATAGACTCAACTCAGCATTCACTGTGGTGCTGGGCACATCATAAGTTCTCAGTAAAATGAAATTGCCATTCCTAGCTAGACCGCAAGCTCTGAGTGTGGCATCCCTATAAAGTACCTGTCACTTGGGACTCGATGAATGAATGCATGCCTGAATTAAAAAATCTGTCTCACATGTGTCTCCTTCTCAGGGTACATGCTCCTGCAAGGAGCCACCAGGCCACATCAGCTGATCTACAGAGCAGCAGAGAGATCAAGGGCTTTGTCAGACCTGGATTTTAATCCCCACCTTGTTGATTAAGGCTCTGGGACCTTGGTTAACTTACAACCTCTCTGAGCGTCAGATTCCGCAAATGTTAGAATGCAGAGAATAGTGTGTAGCTGTGAGGACTAAGAGAAGGAAGTTCTAAAAATGCGCCCTGGGTTCTCCAGGAGAATATTTGAGCTGATCTTCCTTCATTAATTCTCCAAAGAAATGATTTGATCGCTAGAGGCTTCAGGCAACTGTGGCTAGGCACGTATTTAATCTTGTGTTTACCGTGTACCCCCACATGTCGGGCTTTGTCCCAGGGATGGAGGGCAGGTAGGAGGAGAAACAAAGGGTCTGGCATGCTTGCTCCAGGCTCTTAGCATTCCCAGGTGGCAGAAGGGACGAGGTGTGGGTGCAGGCAGCTCCACTGAGGAGAGTGTGGCTGTGCCCCAGAACAGAGAGAAGCCAGGCTTGCATGCCTGGGGTGTGGGAAAGAGAAGGGTGGTCTGGGTCCTGGGGGCAGGGTGAGCTAACCTGGTGACAGGGGAGACAGAGCTCCAGTGGGGCTTGTCAGGTTCCTGAGAAGGAACGCATTTAGGAAGGAGGCAGGAAACGAGGCAAGGAAGACCAGCCCCGGGCCTGTGCTCCGACACCTAAAAGTAGGTCGGCCAGATAATACACGGGCCAGCCAGTTGCATTTGAATTTCAGATAAAGAACAATTGTTTTAGTGCAAGCAGGTCCCATGTGCCCATGCTGCCAGTGGGCTGACTCTAGGGAAGGTCTTCCAGAATGGAGCTGCCCCCCGGGCTGTATTCCCAACCCCAAGGCTCACCTCTCCCCACCCCTACCAGCCTTCCCCTTGCCTTGCCGAACTGAGCCTTGAAGGACTTGGCGATCTGCTGCCGCTGCACGTTGCTCCTCCTGGTGAGCACATCAATGATGGCCTGCTCGTTGGTCCCTGCAGGGATACAGCGAGAGTGACCCTGCTACACCCAGGGGCACTGGTGAGGGCTGGAGAGGGGAAGGTGAAGGCAGCTGCTTGGTGGCTGAGCAGTGAGGACATGACACCTGGATAACTCCAAACCCCTGGACCATTTTTTATGGCGTAAACAAGGCCCTTAGGAAATCTGGCTCCCCATTTTCCACACCCACACCCCCACAACGCTGGGCTATGCCTAGGCCCAGTCTCACAAGACAGAATTGAAGCCTGGGTGGCTCCGGACATCAGCCTGAGCCTTAGAAACTTGGCTGAGTGAGACCTCCTTTGTGTTGGTTGCATTAGGGGAAGGTCAGTACTGAGTCCAACCTCTGAATCCGAGGCCTGGCCCAGCAATGGCACGGCATCGGGCAGCAGGTCTCATCTCCCTGGGCCTCTGTTTTCTCATGTGGGAAGTGGAGATAACAGTAAAGGCTTCACAGAAAACAGAGGACATGAGTTTTCTGGGCTCATCAGAGAGGGAGTTGTCATTGATGCCCCCATCCTTGGACAGAACTGGCTAAGGGGTCGGCCCCAGCTGGCATGGGGTCAGGATGTATGCTCTGCCCTCAGGTCAGGAGGGCTTTCTGGGTGAGTTTTTAAAATCTAGCCTCAGTCCAGCCCTCGCCCACTCGCGGTAGTGCTGAGAGTGGCACTAGGCAAGTACTGGAGATGGGAAGGGAGCCAGCTCCAAGGTCATTGACATGGGGCAAGGGGGCCTTGACTCAGCCCCACAAACTCCCCACACCCCATGGCCCCACCAGCCCTGTGCTTGGCACCATAAAGCACCATCCCCTTTAAACTTCATGTGACACATGAGGCCCAGAATTCTTGGGGCCACTTCACAGGTGAGAGAGCTCAGACTGACGGGAAGTCACTTACAGGAACACACAGCTGACCTTCCCGCCCCCATTACCTAAGGCAGAGCAGCATCCTCCTGTCCAGTTTTGTGGGGTGGATGCTGACTGTACTGCAGAAATGTGGGCCTGTGTGATTCTCTGGGTAGTGGAGTCAGTCTGAGAGTATCATGGGACACCCCAGCTCCCCAGATGTCCCCTGGCACCCACTTTCCAGGGCTGTGGGCTTGGGGTGTTGAGCAGAGGTGGCAAGGCTGCTGACACCCACTCACCGATCCCCTTCATGGCTTTGCAGAGGGTCTCTGCATCAGGGTCTGGGTTGAAGTGGGAGCTGCTCTTCACTGTGACACCCTCCTGTTCAATCTGCAAGAGAACCAGGCCTGTTCAAAGCAGGCAGGGACAGGGAGGGCAGCACAGGCTCCCAGTCCCCACCTTGTAGTCTGCCCCGACAGGGTGAGCCCCTTCCCTGGGCACGGAGATCTCAGCCCTTGCAGGCCAGCGCTCAGCGCTTCAGCTCTTTGGCCAAAAAGCTACTCTGGCAGAGTAACCAGAGCCAGAGCTTGTGAGGAGGAGCCGTGAAACCTTTCCTGTTGCTGCCTTTGCCATCTGAGGGCAGAGAGCAGCTCCAACCACACCTAGCTCCCTCCAGCACCAGCCACAGACAGCAGGAGGGGACAAACTCACCCAAAGTTAGGAAGAAAAAGAAAACTTAAGCAAAGGCTTCCTGGAGCTGAATGCACCACCTTCAGAGCGTGCAGATGAGGCTGGGAGGCCAGGCATGGTTCTGCCTTTCTGAGGAATGGTTTGAGCTCAGTCTGCCCTCTTCCTGGGGAGTTGGAACTTACAGGAACTTAGAGGGTGGGGGCCCAGCATGCTGACAGCTCAGGGTGTTTGCAAGTCCAGAAGCCCATGGGGCTCAGAGCATCAGCTTTAGAAAAACCCGCAAGATGCTGTGCAGATTGTGAAATAAACCAGATAACTGAGTACCTGAGCCCTTGACTTCCAAGCCTCCAGTTCAGAGCTTGCCTGAGGGCTCTTTAAACTTGTACACTGCAGAATTTCTCAGATGCTTAAGACGGATGACCCTCATAAGTATGCTTTGGGTGGAGGGATGGTAGAGCATGGAGGGATATTGGAGATAGATATTGAATTAGAGGGAGACTCAGAGGTCCTCCAGGATGAAAAGTTTAGTCCCATACATTCTGGCCTTCCACTTACCTGTTCACTCATTCTTTCAATCATGTCCATCATTCACCCATCTACTTTCCCACCTACTCGCTTATCTATTTCACTACTACAGCGAGCCATCCATCCATCCATCCATCCATTCACCCACCCATCCAGCTATGCATCCATCCACCCATCCATCCATCCACTCACCCATCCAGCTATGCATCCATCCATCCATCCACCCGTCCATCCACCTACCCAGCTTTGCACCCACCCTTCCACCCATTCATCTATCCATTCATCCATCTACCCATCCAGCTGCGTGCCTGCCCATCCATCCATCCATCCATCCACCCACCCGCCCACCCACCCATCCAAGACCTGGATTAGGTTCTGAAAATAGAGAGATTCCCATGGATGGTATATCTGTAAGGATCTTTTGAGTAAGAGATAAGACATTTTTTTGAACCCTTTGCTTGAATTTCAAATGTTTCGTGACAGAGCTTCCTGAGTCATTTCTTAGCACTATGTTTCACAGCAGAAATAGTTAGAAATAATTCCTATGGAAATTCCAACCAGAGAGAGCCAGTGTGGCCCCAGATATTGCCCAGCTATGTACACAGACACGAGATCCCTTGCTTGTGGTAACACTCTGCTATTACTCCTCCTAGCACTTGGAGCCCCTTGTGTATGCTGGGCCTGGACCAGGTGCTTTAGATGCAGTGCTTACATCACGGCTTCCTCAACAGTTGTGCTAGGTATGTACTGATGCCTCACTTTACAGAAAGGGAGCTGGACTCCCTTACACAGCTAGTAAGCCGTGCTGCTGGGACTTCACCCCCAACCTGACTCAGAAGCTGAGCTCTGTCTGCCTCCCCTGCCCTATTGATGACTCAACCTTTCCCAGGCAATGAGTGTCCCTGGAACGTTCCACTGAAGGAAGCTTCACCCACAGGAACGCAGGTCGTCTGGGAATGTAGGAGGCATCTCAGCCCTCAGTGCCTGCCAGCTTCCCTCTGCCCTGGCACTCGGGGGCTATGGTGCACAAGCAAGTGGCCAGGCTGTGTGACTGCATCCCTGAGGAGCATGCCATCCAGCAGGGGTGCGGTAGGGCTCAAGTGCAGCATTTGTAAGCAGCTCCCCAGCTGGTTCTGATTTTGCTGCATTGAGAAGCCTCCATCTCACTTCCCACTCTAAGGTTTTAGAAAATAAGGGGCAATGTTCTGGGAATCAGGCCCCTGGCTATCAGTGTGGAGTCCTGGAGCTCCAGACTCCCTGAAAGAGCCAGCCTCAGGCTCCTGCAGGGTCTTGCCCAGGGCAGTACTAGTCCAGACAGGTGCATTTTCACTGAAAAGGTAACTCAGACCATCCTGTAACTACATCTATTAATATAACTTGTTCTGTGACAGGCGCAGGCGAGCTGCCACGCCTTGGCCTTCCTCCTGGTATGTGGCTGCTCAGAGGCCTGGGAAATGGGGTTGTCTCTACAAGAGAGACACAGAGGAAAAGGCAACACCAAAGGGAGAGGCGCAGAGGGGCCTTGCCTGCAGACAGAGCTCTCTCCAGTGGCTCCCTCATCCCTTCCTATCCTGTTCCTGGTCCAGCTTTGTGCTCAGAGGTCACTGGGTCCTTGCTGGCAGCTCAGCCGTCGCAGGTGGGGTCTGCCTGTGAACTGCTGTCCCAAGCCAGCTCTCACATGGGGCATGGACATCCAGGGTGCAGTTTTGGCCCTGGAGTCAGGCTGTTCAGATTTTCACCCAGACTCCAGCACTAACTAGTGAGTTCGGGCACCCGCCTAGCCTACTTTTTCTCATCTGTGGATAAGGATACTGGTATCTACTTCATAGACTTCTTGTGAGGCTCAAGGGAGATATTGAATGTGAGGTGCTCAGAGCAGTGTCTGGCACACAGTAGGGGCTCAGTGAATGCCACAGTGATCCTGCCAGTTTGACAGAGCCCTCTGTCCAGCTGAACTGGGTGCAAGGCCAATGTCAGATCGCATTGGCCAGCACCTGACTTTGGAAACCTCCCAGCACTGGGCTCTCTTGGCCACATCCACCTCCTCAAAGGCAGGTTCCCAGCAGCCTGGTTGAAGCTGAAGGCTGCCATGGCCCCTTGTCCTGGCAGATGGCTGCTCCCCTGGGGGCCAGGACAGCTGTCCCACCTCACCCTGGCTTCCTCTGTGTCCCACCTGTCTGGCCCTGACAGCCCCTGCCTGGGTTATGATATCTGTGACCAAGAGATTCCCTGAAGCTGGATAAGCCTGGGTCCCTCGCAAAAGCTCACAGAGAGCCTGGGGCTGTGCAGAGAGACCCCAGTGCTCTCTGACAAGAGTCTGCTGGCTGAGAGACCTTAGCAAGTCAATCAGTGTCTCTGAGCCTCAATTTCTTCATCTGCAAAACAGAAAGTGCAGCCCTGACATCCCGAGGCTGCCTGTGAGGGAAGGAAGAGGGTGTACAGAGCCGGCAGCTGGGAGATGTCATCTCTGTCCCCTTCTGGATATTCAACTCCTTAGCACAGCAATGGCCTCAGGCTCAAGCATAGATGGAAAGCTCCTGAGAACCCATCAGTTCTGCTGGGGATGGGCTGCACTGAGCCCTGGGTTCCTCAAGAGTCCAGCAGGCCAGGTCCTCCTGCTTCCTCTCTTTCCTCTCGTCTTAACAGATGAACATCGTTGATCTCCAAGGTGAAGGCATTGATGGGTTCCCAACAGCAGGTTTAGGTTACTCTCCCACTCAAAGCCCTTCCATGCCTTCACACTGCTCTTAAGGTAAAGCCTGAACTCCTCAGCCTCCCATGCAAGGCCTTTCAGGACCTGGCTCTGCCTGCTTCCCTAGGTCCATCTCCTCCTGGACCCAGACCCTCGAGCTGTGCTGAGCAGCTTTCCCCAAAGCCAAGCTCCCCGCCCTCTGAGCCTCTGCATGCAGTTCCCTCTGCAGGAGCAGTATGCCTGATTCCCCCCAAATGCACACACGTGTGCACCCCACTCACATTTACACACATGGCTCAACCCTCCTTCGAGTAGCCCCACCCCTGCAGGAGTCCCTCCACTGGACTCCTATCAAACCTCAGCTTCCCCCTGCATTTCCAGATTTCTTCATCTGCCTGTCTCCCGGCCCAGGTCCCATCCTGCCGTGGGTGCTCTAGGCCTGAGACTGTTTCTTTTCGCGTCCTCCCCACCCTCCATGCTTGGCTCAGCAGGCAGCCAAAGGCACCCTCACATCTCTCAGGCCTCCCTGGTGCCCAGCACCCAACACTGTGCAGGATCCCAGCTCTCCTGCCAGCTCCTGCTTACCCAGGCTTTCCACCAGGCCATCTTGTTCACGTCGGGGGCAACTTTCTTGGGGAGATGAAGAGACACAGGTCAGCCTCTGCTGGGGCTCCACAGGTCTGGCTCCTGTGGCTGAGGATCAAGGAGGCTGCTCACTTGGGTGTGGGGGTGCAAGCCCGCCCCAAGCCACACCCAACACCACACCTGCCTGCCCCCCTCTCGCCCTGGGGCTCTGCCTGGCTTTGGCTGTTTCCAGTGGCTTCCAGGCCCCACCCAGACACTGTCCAGGCCTGCACTGGGGAATTACGAAACTCATTGCCGGATATTTAGGCTGTGGCTATTACACATATGGGAAATTCTTAGCTCCAGCCTGCGAAGCCCCGCTCAGTAAACACAGCTGCAGTATTGCACTGTTTTCACTAGGCCTTGATCACGTCACAAAGAATGTGTCCCTTCACAAGCTTGGAGACAATGGACACAATGGGGAGCTCAGCAAAGGATGCAGAGTGACAGCCGCCTCCCTTCACTGGGATAGCCGTGTCTAGAAACCTCTTAATCACTCCTGAGAAGTAGGGATGGGTTCGCTGTACGAGAATAAGAAACAGAGGCTCCAGGGTTGAGACAGTTTGCCCAAACCACACCTCTTGTGGGAAGCACAGTTGCCATCCCCCATGTCTCTTGGGCTTGCGGGTTCCTGCTCTCCCGTGGGCCCAAAGGAGATGCTGTCTGCCAAGAGAAGGAGGAACCCTCCAGAGCAGAGGTTAACTATTGCCACTCCAGGATTTGCCCACTCTGGTGTCCCTGCCAGGAATGTGTCCCCAGCGCCGCCCTCCCCATGCCAGCTCCCAACCAGCTGTCTCCTTCCCACCATTCAGCAAACACATCCTATCTCCAGGACCAACCCCTTCATCCCAGGCAGGTCTTCCATGGGAATAACGCCCTGGGTGGGGAGTGGTTTGTTTTCCATCCAGTGCAAGCTTGGAGGTAACAGACAAGAATGTCCTGTGATGCGAAGTGCTCAGCATCCTGATCCCCGATCCAGTATTCTTTAGGGGGCAGATCCCATAAGTGCCGAGGCCAGAGCAAAAGGCCTCAGCCTATTTCCATATAATCATGAAGAACAAAGTAACTAGAAATATAACCATAGTAGTTATTAGTTATTATTCATATGTGATCTTACTTATTCATAGGTGATCTTCATTCTTTTACTAATGCCTCTCAGGTTGGAAGTGTGAACCTGGGGTGACATTGTGAAATGAATGACACTAAGGCAAGATGCTTTAAGCCCTCTGTCAAGCCCGCATAAGGGCTGCTGGAGGGCATCTTATCTGTGCGGCAGTGCCAGCGCTGGAAAAGTGCCAGCTGTTTAACCAGCTAGGGGAGGAGACGTCCAAAATGGCCGAGATGTCTCCTTCCTGGGGGAGTTAGGCAAAAACTTCGCCTCTCCAAGCTCTTGTGGTGGGCCTGATGGCTGTCAGGTACACCCGCAGACATCTGGGGGCTTAACTGTCTCTATGTGATGCTGTGCTTCAGTGGTCATGTTCCATGTCGACTCGTGTTCTGATGATCTGGTTCCTTTTGTCTTAGAAAAAATAATCACTAATAGCAATATAAATCTTAATGTTTTAGTTCTTTCTTGATAAGTATGGAAAAAGTGCTGATGCATTATGCTCCTTACCTTAATTTGGGTACCAGAAATTCCTGAGCCCCTACCTGAATGACACGTGATGTACTTGACCCTATCACTGCCACGCCTTATTGACCCTGCCCCCAGTCTCCGACCACCAAGGCCACGCCCCACCTACTCTGTCCCCAGATTTGCAACTCAATAAAACTGAGAGCATCCTGGCATTCTGGGCTACTGCTGGTCTCATCGATTTGCGATTTGCGTAGCAGTGGACCCCGGGGCCCAAACTCTCTTTTCTCGATCTCTGTGTCTTGTGTCTTTTATTTCTACAATTTCTCGTCTCCGCACCAGCTGGGAGCAGCTCACCGAACCCTGTAGGGCTGGAGCCTACAGTGCCCTTCGCTCTAAGTACACAGCATTCCCAGGCTGTTCCTGGAGGTGTGGGCTGGGGTTGGTAGGGATGAGCTGGGCCAGCTGCATCAGGGGAGGCAGCCATGCCCGGGGCACAGAGCCACTGCCCAAAGCTACCTCCAGAGCTGGGAGCTGTCCTGCCCATGACTCTGTGAGATGCCCTCCAGAGAGGAAGAGGGCAGCCATCTCCACGTCCTGAGACTGATGAAGGGCCCATTCCAGGCCTTTGGGTACCTGGGCTCACTACCCTCCTGTGGGCCAGGACCAAGGTGCCCTTGCTGGTGGCATTCTCAGGAGCTCAGCCTCTCTCCATACATGTGCACATAGAGGGGCACCCACTGCCTAGGGACAGTGAGTTTGGGGGTGGAGGTGGGTCCCTTCCAGGAGGGTTTGGCCAAAGTCCAGTTGTGAAGGTGACCTGAGATGGGTTCCCTTGAAGGAGCCATAGTGTAGAGAGCCCCGGGCAGGATCCAGAGAGAAATGCCAGCCCTGAAACTGAGACACAATCCAGGGAGTGCTGCCAAGAGCAGCAGACACAGCCACTGAGGCCCATGGGGAGGGTGGCCCCTCTGTGGCCACTCCTGGCCTGTGCTCACACCCCTTCCTCAGGCCCATCTCACCAGCTCTTGCAGCCCAGGATCCACATTCTTTCCAAATCTCCTTCCTCTCCTGGCTTCTGGGATCCACAGTGCCCCTCACTATTCCTTCCTGTCCCTCCTCTACCTCCTGGAACCATTCCCCAGGATTCCCTCCTGGGCCAGCCCTTCCCCCATCTCCACACATTGGTGGTTCTGAACCCCAGATGCCTTTGAGATCACGTGGGTGCACTTTAAATCCTTCCAGCCCAGAGTCCTGAGCCCTGAGGCTCCCACCTGTTCCCGTGGGACCCCTTGGCTCAGCTGATCATCTTATCATCATCCATTATGTCCCCTGTCACCAAGGGCCTCTGGGATGTGTTGTCCCCACGCCCACCCTGGCACCCTTCACCCACCAACCTGTGCCCAAGTCCTGCTTTGACCCTGTTTCCCCTTCTGAGTGGTATTTCCTCACTCCAGGTAGGCGCTAGGGCAGCTGGCAAACCTGGCTGTGAGCCTCTGTCCCATCCAAAGAGATCCTTCCCCCAGATTATCCAGTCAAGCTTGACTTCATGATGTCATTGAGTGTGGCCAGAAGAGGGCGTTGAAGCCACATGTCCCCCCAAGCCCCACGGAGCTGCACCAGCTTTGGAGTGAGAGAGAGCCTGGGAGATTGAGCACGGAGTGCTGGGTCCCCATGGAAAAAATCATTGTAACCCTTTCTTCCTACCACTCTTGAGGACCCTGTGGGGACACAAGGCACATGGAGGATGGCGGAAGAGGCACGTGCCTGGGGTGCTTGGCACCAAGCCGGGGTTCATTTCTGTGTGTTCCCAAGATCCCCAGCCACATGTCACACTCCTGCCTCACAAAGTGACAGGCAGTCCTGTTCTGGACACTGTGCTGAGCATCAGATGCTGGCCATGGAGACCCTGGCTTTGTGGGGAGCACAGACAATCAACACAGTACTGTCAACGCAGAGAAGTGTACAGGATGCCGTTTGGAGCACTAAGGCTATGGAGTAGTGTAGTCTGGGAGCTGGGTGTTGGAGGAGGCTGCTCTGAAAGAGGGACCTTCCACGGGGCCCGGAGATCACAAGAATCTTAGGAGTTAGCCAGGTGGAGGTGGGGACCATGGGGGTGGGCATGGTGGAAAGTGAAAGCGAGTAAGGGAGAAGCTGAGGGCACTTCCGCACTGGCAGGGCGAGTGCATGGGACAGGGTGAGTGTGCACTGGAATGGAGCATGGGTGCAAAGGGCAAGGCATGCATGCACAGGAGGGAGCATGTGTTCACGAGGGTGGAGTACACAGCGCAGGGGTGGCGGTGTGTGTACATGAAGATGAAGTGTGTGCAGAAGGATGAAGCATATTTATGCGGGGCCAGGGCATATATGCATGGGGCGTGTGTACTTGGGGACTGAGCGTGGTGTCCAGCCTGTTCCTCCTAAGTAGTAGGCACCAGCCGATTCCTCGTTGAATAAATGTCAGCCAGAAGGAGAGGAGATGCACCCACAGGCTCATAGCAGGAGCGGCATGGCCCATTGGTGAGCATCCCCACAGGGGACAAGGGGGATAGAGGAGGAGGTGTGTGGGTGGGGGACTGGGTACCTAGCCAGGCTTCGTTCTGGTGAGTGAGCCCAAAGAGTCTGAGGTCAGCCTGAGGACACTGAGGAGGTGTGGACAGTCATGAAGAGAAAGGCATGATTCAATGCACATCCTAGAAGCCCACAGCTGTGCACAGCTGGAGACCAGGGGAAGAATGAGGAGGGGATGGGATGTAGTGTTCTGCAGGGAGCAGGAGGGATGGAGAGAGGCCAGTCTAGCACAGGAGAGGTGGGAGAGGCAGAGGGATGCCTGGGTGGAATAGGAGGGGCCAGGAGGGATTGGCAGCTTTAGGCTTCTGATTGGCAGTGGTGTGGATGGAAGAGTGCGCTTCTCAGAAAGGACCGGTGGGCCAGTGCTGGAACGCTGAGTCTCCCCTCTGTGCTGGCTGCTGGCTGCACTCTGCCAGGGTCACATCCTCCCTCCCCAGGGTCTGAGCTTTGCTCCTAAAGGGACCTTCCTCTGTGACTTTCTGCTGAGGAATGTCCTGGAAATGCAGGAGCCCAGGCAGTGCCCGGAGACTTCATCCCTCCCTGCCCAGCTCAATGACTGGAGAGCTCACTACCCCTGCCATGTGGTGCTCACTGCCCCCGCCTCAGCTGAGCAAATGCCAGCGCCTCACTGTGGGCCCCTGGGCCCTGCTGGCTCCCTGTCCTCCTTCCCTCAATCCTCCCCAGCTTCCTAGGAGCACTTCCCAAGGGGGTCACTGCAATCATCATCTCTCTGCATCTGAACCACTGGACCTCAGACATCCCAGGGAGCTGTTGAGTAGGCAATTGGGAGAAACTCCTGGAACTCAAGAGGAGGATGGGGATGGAGCCATGGCCTACGGCACCATCTCAGGGGTAATAATGAAGCCACAGATATGCCTGAGAGCTGCCCAGAGAGAACCCAAGGCTATTCAAGGCAGAGATCAGACACTCAGTAAACCATGGGAGCAGGAGAAAGGCAGGGCCAGGAGTTTGCAGGAGACAGCGGAGAGCAGGCTGCGTCTGACCAGCGGCTGATGAGATTCACGGACAGGGACCACTGGGGGTCACTACAGGGTGTGGAGGCTTCTGGGGGTCAGCGGGTTGCCTTGGAGGGTAGGACAGAGGCAAACAGCTCTTGCAGGCAACAGGGGTCTGGGGGCAGGGGTGATGGCTTTAAGGGAAGAGGTGAGGGCCAGGGGACAAGGAGGGA